AAGTTCTTAGTTAGGCTCTGAATATTGTGAGAAATTATCAAAAACTTAGAGCTGATAGGTACAAAAATAGGCGCAAGAGGATTCAAAATCGACAAAGTATAAAACATAGGAGCTGAAATGACTTGCGAAGAAGAAGAAGAACTACTATCTATTTGACAAACTTGGCGAGAAGCACAACTATTTCGTAGAAGAAAGTTAAATGAGTTCGAAATAGGAGCACAATGGTCGGACTGATCGTTGTTTAAAGCTACAAGAGAAGAAGAGAGAAAAAAGTGTTTTGTAACGTAGCCATTGTACTGTCTGACAACAAGCAGTTAAATAGAGCTTCACTGTTAAATGCAATTCTTCAAATAAACGTCAATAGCTTCAGTTAACTTACGTGTGCCAAGATCGTTCAAATGGATACCATCAAGAGCTATTGCAATTAAATTCAACTGAATAGTGTTAATCCAAACATCAAAGAGAATTGGGTAATTATTTTTAACACGAATACCAAAATAAACATTGGAAATATCATTAAGAAGAAAGTTGTCTATAAGAGAAACATTAAACCACCGATTATCACCATATTTCTGATGTTGTTTTTTCAACCAAGGATATCGAAGAACCTTCCATCGACCGCCATGGTCAGCTCGATCGCCTAACAAACAAATGTCTCTGGATTTTATTTTCAAATAGGAGCCATACCAAGTAAATAATCGTCGTTAGGACAATTATCGATAAACTAAAAGAATAATTTGTTTAATAGGATTTTCTTTTTTCTTCAATTCTGATCGAAATTGACCATTTAAAAAATCAGTGACAAAAAGTTCTCTTACATGACGTCGTAATCGCATTTGACATGTTAAATTGTAACGACCTGGAGGTAAATCGGGCCATAGAGGAATTTTATCGAAAAAGAGATATGTCATAAGAGGAGAAATCGATGATTCATAAGATCTTATAATAAAAACACCGCCATCATTATCAATCTTCATTAATCTTTGTTCATCTTTGGGCATTGTACTATTTCGATAGAACATATCACCAACAGATAAACAACGATGAGAATCAATTAGATAAGCATAGATAATAGTACCAATAGGTGCTAAGATACTTTTCTTGTTTAATCTTAAAAGAAAGAAAAGACATACACTTCTTTCGAAAAGTATTAACAATTACATAAAATCTGATATCGTTCGAAAGAAAAGTCTTTGTTTTCTTCAATAGATATTTCGATTGATTGAGAAACAAACGAAAGAAAACATTGCTTACCGATAATAGTACAAACGGAATAATTTCGATGATAATGGAACCGGATAATTCAACAAGGGCATAGAACTTGGAAATATAAATCGTCTCCAGGCAAAAAAAACACGTTTCTCTTTTTCTGCTAAAGTAAAATAAACATGCCAAGATCGATATTGTCCCGGTTTGAAAAACTTTTCGTGCAGAACTTCATATGCTTCGATATCAGATAAAAGTCTTTGAGAAAATCGATTATTCTCAGCAATGATTGCATCTTCATCTTCACCTTGATCAAATAAAGCTCTTATTGATTTTCAAAGAATAGATGAATGAAATTTCAGATGAATTAAATAACTCCACAATGACAATTGACGTGACCACAACATATGGCGTAAGATTCGACATGTTGATGACAATTGAGCTATATCTCCTATTGATAAATATTGACAAATATTAAACCAACAAAGATCTGGAAATCCGACAGAACAATCAATCATCAAGAAAAAAAGACAAAAGATTTCTTTTTCCGCAAATTTTATTCAAATAACTAATCAAAAAATATAAAGAAAAAAGCTTTTAATGAGAAGATCTGACGAATATCTGAATATAAAATGAAAGATCGTTTTTTTTACTGGAAAATTACATATTCTAATGAAGATCACCTGTTGTGGATTGATACTTCCAAACTATACATAAGATGTTGAATTTCCAACCACACCGCGATGAGAGAAGACAAAATAGATGGAGAAATTTCATTGCATAAGTGATGAATAAGCGAATAATTACTGAATTCAATTCCGGATCGGTGTGATTATTTTGATTGTGATCGAACCCATCAATTGCTTTTACTGCATTCTTTAATAGATCAAGCAAACCGAGAGCTAGATCCGAGAGCTAGATCCAATCGTACGAATATATTCACATTGCTTGATAGATGAAGATGAGAATGGCCCATCATTAAGGCAGTCAACCATCAATTCCATATACAAGGAATTCAATACACTTGCGTCTTCTACCATTTTCATTGATTCTTGTAATCAATCATCACGCGAGAATCGATAATAGTTAACTGATTCGTTTCTAAATGTATCATGGAAGAACGAGTGATTTCATTCTTCGATGTTCTGTCATCTTCTTTATGTTTATGTAAGTTGATCGATTTTTTCCTAATAAAAATAAAATCAATGTTGCATCTAAATATAAGTTTTCTTATGTTACCTATATGGATCAATGGAATAACGAATAATATTTATGTTCCAACCATCGGTGTCGATATAAAGTTTACAGAGCCAATTTCGCTCGATCCAAAATGATAAATTGAATTGATTAATTAATGAATGATATTTAGTAACTACGAAATCTTCATCGATAATCTCTTCATATTTAAAATCAAATCTAAATAAATGAGATAAGTTCTGTGAAATAATTCGTTCCCATCGATTAGCATCTAAATATGTCGCATCTTCATAGCAAGTGATACGTAATACTTCTAGTTGAGATGATATTTGCGTGATAAATATTTCTAGATCATCAAAACTTACAGCACATCGAGTAATAGAAATATATGTCGAAGTAGATATCGTGCTTATTGTTTTTGTTGTGATATACTTATTTGAGTTGTTTACTTCTGTACAAATCAAACGACAAAGTCGAGGTGTGTATGAAAGTATAGAAATTAAATCATCAAGATTACATGTATGATCAATAAATAGATATTCAATGTTACTAAATTGCTCGTTAGTAGTCATTGATGAAGGAAAATATCTGCAATATCCACAACATGAGACTTTATTATATTTTAATTGAGGTAACATGTATCTATCGATATCAATTGATGCTTAACCAAATGCTAGAGAGTTTGCCAGATAGAGTTGCAAAGTTTGGTTGTGAGAAAATTGAGCAGTGCTCATAGAAAAATTTTCATACCCTATACGATACGCGCTATTTTGGTCTAGACCACATGTCGAGACCCATCTATGTAGGGAGTCCGAATATCACATCGGCGAAAGCGAAAAGTGCAACACAAGGGGTTTCTTTCCGTAAAACTAGATCAAATCGTACAACAATATATTTCCTATTTCTTGGGCCCGTATGCTCCACTATGGGTTTTCACGGTATCTCACACTATATTTAACCATAGGCACCAAAGATATCGCTTCCAGTCTGATTTCTTTTTTTCTTTTGTACATATTCTATGTATAAAACGTTTTTCCTATTTAAAGAATAAAATAAGAAAAGATCTATATCATCGAGGTGTTCAAGTATCGTATAGACAAGAAAGATAGTGATAATTGTGACCAAAGACCAAAATTATGTAAGATTCAACTTTATCATGTATGCATATAAGACTATACAACTTGAGCTGTTTATCTTTATTGTTATTTATCTGGACTGCTTTCATAAACATGATTCAAAACAATACATCTCATTATCTCAGGCCAGAAAGACGACAGACCGTTGTGTCCTGTTAAACAATAAGTATAAAAAGAGTTATAAGAATAATCCTCCTCATTGCGCACGAATCTCCAAAATAGACGCAAAATGATGTTCAAAATAAGATAATTCTTCACAAATTCAAAACATTATTGTGTATTATTTGTTACTTATTACTTATTATCCTTTATATGCTTCTATTTCTAAACAACAATAACACGTAAGTAGCTGTCTTTTGTGCTAAGCATGGCTCATAATAATTACAAGATAGTTCTTGCGATATTAGATTTACCAGATCCGAGTAACAAGTTAAAAGAGCAATTGAAAAAAATTCAGACTAGAGCAAAAAACGAAACTTACTATTGATGGAAAAACCGTAGTCAGTAGCATTTTGAAAAAGTAGCTTATTTGATTAAAAACAAATTAGGAAAAATTATGGTATTTTTTTGAGTCGTAAAGCGTGAACAAGCATTCCTCGCTTTTCTTCTATAAATCATAGAAAACATATCATAGGGAGATAAAAAATATTCTCGAAAACCCCAAATACGAAAGATGTGCAAATAATACTCAGCAATTCACTTACATGTAGTTAGGAGTGAGCATAACTGCCAAAAACATCATGTTACAAAGTCCTACGCTCTATTACTTTAACCAGCAGAATGTGCGTCGCAGATTTCAATCGATAGAACTGTTATTTGCCTTTTTCTCATCAACAACAAAAAGAAAAGGCTTGTGAATACAAATTTTTCGGGATTTTTAGCGGAAGCTCAAAGATTCATTTTCCAATGCTCGACGTAATAATGTGCATAGTTATCATCCCATTAGTCGACAGCTGACTTCGCATCACGAACGTCTTCGAAAGCGCATTCGTTGTATGCAAATCTTCCTGGAATAAATTTCTTTTTCTCGAAATAATAGAATAATGTACACTTAATCATGTGTTTGTTTCTGTGTCATTTGCATTGTACTTTGGACCGTTTCGCAATATCTCTTTTTGAGATGGTATCAGTGATATTGCTGTATTCTTTGCTCACGGTCATAGACCATGTAAAAGAAGAGATCTTCTTATTGTCTTTATATAAGATTAAAGACATCTCATATTTTCGTGAGTCAGTTTTACTGATATATTTATTTATTTGTCTTAAGCAATTTTTGAGCATGCAATTAAAACTAATTAATTTGTAGTTTAGTTCTCATCGGTCAGCGTTGATACCAACTTTTTTGTTAGCTAATAAACAACAACAATAATTTTTATTTTAGTTATCTTTTCACTTCAGAAATGAATTTATTTTTGTTTCCTGAAAAAGCGTTGTAATGACAACCCGAAACATCAACTATCAATTATTAAGTATATGAGAATAAAAATATGCAATTAATTTCTTTTCTAGATTTTTTCCAGGTATTATTATGCTAGTTTATTGATTAGCTGAGAGACTTATACGGCAAAAAAATTAGTACTTTTTTGACCATATAAATAGTGGCAATCAGTATACTAGTACAAAATAGTGTGCAATAGTACGCATAGGTTTAACAATAAAATTTGAAAAACTCTTAGAATATTACATTACATGAAAATGGTCATTTCTAACATTGTTTGGAACAGCTATTTGTCGTAATTCATTATCTTTAAAGTCACTAATAAAAACAACAAATATA